TTTAATGAAACTTGATATATGGATAGATGGCAGTATGGAGATTATGCCACGTCTTTTTCTTTTCTTCCTATGTTGAAAATTCTGGTTGCTATGGCAACAAATAGACTGAAAATATGGGAAATTTTACAACATAACCTGGATCCCGCGATAACGCAAGAAGTACTGAAAATATTTTTATGAAAACTTGATATATGGATAGATGGCAGTATGGAGATTATGCACGTCTTTTTCTTTTCTTCCTATGTTGAAAATTCTGGTTGCTATGGCAACAAATAGACTGAAAATATGGCAAATTTTACACATAACCTGGATCCAGTGATAACACAAAAAGTACTGAAAATATGTTTATGAAACTTGACATATGGGTAGATGGCAGTATGGAAATTATGCACATTCTTTTTTTATCTTCCTATGTTGAAAATTCTGGTTGCTATGGCAACAAATAGACTGAATTTCAAGATTTCTGATTCTAGTTTTTAAGTTTTTTTCACTATAAGTTCTTTATTTCTTAAGGTATTTTCTTCAAACTTTAAATATAAGTTGAATTGTCATCAACCACATCATATGTGACAAGGTTTACAACTCTAGCACAAAATTTATCAGAATTACCTCCCTTGAACTTAAAATTTTCATGAAAAAAACATTGTTTTTTTTTTTAATAACTTCTTTTTCTGAATGTATCTACTTCAAACTTCATATAAATGTTTCTTGTTGTCACTCAACATTTGTGAGTGTTCAATACTCTAGCAAGACTATTTCCAGAATTATGCCCCTTTTGAACTTAGACTTTTTTTTGAGAAATTGGTAATTTTTACTCCAACTTCTTCAATAATGATAGGATTTAAAAAAATGTTACATTTTGATAACAGGGATGTTTAAAAAATAACTTTAGAGTGTCCTTCAGTCTATCTGTCTGTACATAAAAACTGTTTCCTGTGATCACTTTTCAAGAACTTTTTCAACAAATTTACTTAAAATAGGAACCTAAGTGAATGGCCAATGGCCCTTCAGAATGTTGCTTGGGCTCTTACCGGTAGGGGACTTATGGATTGCTCGCAATACTATGATAATTGCTTTTTATCCAAACTTCACAGGAATGTTACTTTTGTGGTCACCTTTATCGTTCAAAGAATTTAATTCCATGCAAAACTGGTTGCCATGGCAACTGAAAGAAAAACTTTTAAATATCTTCTTTAAAAAAACCCAAAAAGCTATAGACCTTAGATATTTGGCAATGGAACATCTCCTAGTGTCTACCAAGTTTGTTCAAATAAAAACCCTTGGGTTAAGATTGGCTGCCCGGGGTCATTGATTTTCCTAATATGTATATATTAAAACTTAAAAAATCTTCTTTTAAAATAAACTAAAATAGCTAGAGCCTAGATGTTAAGCGTGAAACATCATCTTGTGAGTTTCTTCCAAGTTTGTTCAACTAAAAGCCCTGGGTCTCAACTTAAAGCCCTGGGGTCAAAATTTGCCCCACCCCAGAGGATCATTGATTTTTCCTATATGTATAATATAGTAAAAACTAAAAACCGAAAAAGCTAGAGCTAAGGCATAAAGCATGAAACATCAAGTGGGTATCTACCATAAGTTTGATCAAATAAAAGGATTGTGGTTAAAATTACCCCCCCCCCTGAGGGTCATTAATTATCCTTATATGTATATATTAATAACTTAAAAATCTTCTTTTAAAGAACCGAAAGAGCTAGAACTTAGATATTAAGCATTAAACATCTTCTAAAAGGTTTTTACCAAGTTTAATAAAAAAATTGATGAGTAAAAATTGTTTTTCCATTAATTGTAAAGTAGAAACACAAAAAAGTTTTCTTTTTAAAGACCTAAGAGCAAGAGCTTAGATATTTTGCGTGAAACATCTTCTTGTGAGTGTCTGCCAATTTGTTAGTTTAAAGCCTTAGAGCTCCTATAAGTCATCTTTGCATATAAAATCACCAGGGCTTCCATTAGGGGTAGTTTGGAAGTCATTAATTCCTAATTTTGACTTGTATAACTTTCAAAATACAATGCTTTACCTTCTATACATGTACCTACATAATGTAACTTCCAATTAGAGCTGCATCAGTACTTTAGGGTGTAGTACTTAAGTACCAGTACTTGCCGAGTTATGCAGTACCATTACCAGTACCAGTACTAGATTATTTTTTGATTTTTTTTTAGGGGGGGGGGGGGGAGGAGTAATTAAGTATCAGTACCATTACTTTTGTATCTTCATCAAAGTTTGAATAAATACACGGTCAAACACAATAATTGCAACCATTATCCAAGCAAAGAAATAAAACCATTATTTACTTTAAAGTTAACATTACATTTTACAACTTTAATGATTTAACATTCTTTTTACAAACAATATTTAAAACATATATTCATGTCATATCTTATTGTTTAGTAACCAGTCATCTGTAATACAATGCAATCATCTTTCATTTAAAACACAGTCTTTTGTTCACACCTCTGTTCAATTTATACCAAAGTAAATAACAATTTTTTATGGTGCTAAACAATATCACTTGAAATAGGATTATTTAGAATAGAAGCAATTAATTAGTGTTTATATATTTTTGTTTTTGTACTTAGTCTACTAAATACAAAGTAATAAAAGATTGTAATAATGATATTTTAAGATAAAGAGTTAGTGAGTCTTTTTATCTCAATTTAATTTTTACTTCAAGTCTTTGGTCCTTCTTTTTATGATGAATATTACATTAACATTTGAAGGAATATTGCAGCAAAGTATCTATAGATTTGATAATTTACCTTTTCACTAAAATAATAGAATAATACATGGAATTTACAGCTTTACTTTAAGAGAAAAATTGATGACAATTTTATGAAAACTAAAGTACTGCCTTGTTATGCAGTAGCAGTACCATTTTTTAGGACAGTAGTATCAAAATTTTTTAAGAGTAATTCAGTATCAGTACCAGAACTTGCAAAATCGCTGCAGCATGCACTGCAGTTCCAGTACCAGTAATGCACTCTGCTCTGGTTCCAATTTCAGACATTTTGCAGTGTCTGACTTCCAAATTTTGGAACTAATAATGGAAGCCCTGAATCATGTGAGGACAGATTAACAAATGTCCCTGCTTTTCATTCTCTCTTGTCCCAACTTGGTAAGACTATAATGACTTCCACTATATGACTAATACTCATCATATGATGCAGAGGAAATTAAGTCCAGTGACTTTGTTACAATCAATTATGGCACTGATAATTATAGTAATCTGTCTCAAATCCAGGTCTTCAAACAAAGTAAAGTATTTTGTGGGTTTGATGCAATACTATTGATTTTTTTTTTCAAAATTGCAGATGCATAATTATTGCACCAAACTCTTAATGTTTTCATGAATTTATAACAGTAAAACATAGATTTTAAGCAGGAGAAAATCATACAAAAACTTAACCTATTGCCTTTTTAGCTCGACTTTTCTATGAAAAGGGGAGCTATCCTACTCGCCCCGGCGTCGGCGTTAGCGTTGGCGTCACACCTTGGTTAAGTTTTTCGTACCACCCCACTTTATTTCAGAAGTATTACAAGTATGGCTTTGAAACTTACCATACTTGTTCACCATCATAACCTCCATCTACAGACAGGAGTACATAACTCTGTCAAGGTTTTTGACAGAATTATGGCCCTTTTTTGACTTAGAAAGTGTATTGAGCTTGGTTAAGTTTTTTGTACCACCTCACTTTATTTCAAAACCATTGGAGGTATTGCTTTGAAACTGACCATACTTGTTTACCATCACGACCTTCATCAACAGACAAGAGGACATAACTCTGTCAAGGTTTTTGACAGAATTATGCCCCTTTTTGACTTAGAAAATACATTGAATATGGGTAAAATCCACTTATTGCCTTAACCCTTTGAGATATTGCTTTGAAACTTTTAATGCTATTTCACATCATTACCCCCATCTGTACGCAAGAGAAGGTAACTCTGTCAGGGATTTGTTTTAAAAATTAAGGCCTTTTATCGACTTAGAATCTTGGTTAACTTTTTTGTACCAGTCAACTTTTTGACTGAACTGGTTGAGATATTAAATTGAAAGTTGGAATACTTGTTTACCATCATGGTCCCAAAACATGGGCAGGAGAAGGTAATTCTGTTAAGGATTTTATTTGAATTATGGCCCTTTTTGACTTAGAAACTCAGTTAAAATTTTCATTCTTGTCCACTTGTTGACTTAACCATTTGAGATATTACTTTGGAAGTTGGAGTTATTATGTGCCATCATGAGACCTATCTGTAAGCAAGAGAAGATAACTCTGTGAAAATGTTTCTTGATTTGTACTTAGAAATTCCTAGTTAAAGTCTTGTGTGCCCTTAACTGTCAAAGTTTTGTTTTATAGGCAAGCACTAAAAAAGTCGAGCGCGCTGTCCTTCTGACAGCTCTTGTTACAGAAAGGGCTCACTGGGTTTTTTCTCCATAACTTAAAAAGCTGGAAAATCTTAATATGACCTTTATTGTATCACCAAACAAAATAAATATATGTATGTTTATATGTTAATAGGAAGGACGAGACAAAGACATACAGTGTGTTACAGGACATATTTGAGAATGATCTAAATCAGCCTGATTTTAGTGTGGACAAAATGGATGCAGTAACAGGTTAGCATGCTACATTAAGTTTTAGTTAAAACTTCCATCTTCTCAAAAACCAAAAAATAATTTTTGGCAGTAAAACAAAATGATTAAAAAAATGTACATTACAGGACTTCTGACATTTCCTATTCTTATTCATAAAATATTTAGTATACCAGTCAACTTTGATCTCTAGGAGATGGATTCGAATGGGGGTTCGAATCCCAACAGGGAATTTTGATTCTTTCATATCAGGAAGCTATCCAGCTAGCTTACAGAACGTCAGTAGTTCTACTCAGGTGTCCGTTTGTGCCTGAAATAATGCCATATGACCTATACTGTGTCGGTGTGACGTAAAACCCAAATGGATATAGATGTATGTATGTATTATTGTATTATTGTATGTATGTATGTATGTATGTATGTATGTATGTATGTATGTATGTATGTATGTATGTATGTATGTATGTATGTATGTATGTGTGTGTGTGTGTGTGTGTGTGTGTGTGTGTGTGTGTGCTCTTGTAAGGACCAGCAACTGAGGACATTTGTCAGGAATAACAGCAACGAGTGAGGACATGACCGACAATTGAGCCATCCTCAATTGACAAAAATATTTTATACTCTAAAAAATGCTTATTTTTTGCTAAAAACATGTAAAAAAATGGTAATCAAGTTGTGTCCTCGGTTGGAGGTCTCATCTGATGAGTGTGTCGGGGTTGTGTGTCGACCTAAAAAAGTAGCCATTTTTGACTTTCCCACTCGGCGAATTATTGCGTCCTCAATTGCCGGTCAGATATGACGAAACTGGAATACTGCATTTCTATTGGTTGAAATTCATGCCAAAAAAATGAGAAATATTATTTAAGCTGTTTATTAGTAGATCTAGATCTTTTACGAAAGATTTAAAATCCAATAAGAATTTATAAACAGGTTAAATTTGTAAAGGTTTTCTACATACTTACCGGAAGTCTTTTAAAGTGAATTCGGAATCGGACATTTTTACTGTGTGGTACACCGTACAGGAGGCAGAAAAAAGGTAAACGAATCTGTATTTTGATGCTATATTACTTATTATAATTTGTTGCAGCTTAATAGGCTTTACAATTGTATTATTTGTTTTTACTGTGTAGGCTTTACAGTTGTATTATTTGTTTTTACTGTGTAGTCCCAAGTTAAGTACGGTCTCCCAAATTACAGGCAAAAACCGCCTGGATCCGAAAAGAACCGCCAAGAAGTAAAAATGGAAAAAATAAGATTAATTTCACTTATTCATCATTTAATAATTACAATTCCTAATATTTTTAACATGAAAAACATAATAAATTAGTTCTGAACCATGTTTATAGGCAAATATCTATAGCCTTTTAATACAATCTATCGAACGTTACCCTCTCTCGACCAAAGTGATATAGATCTATTTCATATTTGACAAATCAAATTTATTTTGTGCAGCAAGGGATAGTTTTATAAAGTGACATGCACTAACATTTCCTATGTTTTGGCAAAGTTCAATTTTTACAGCTTCATTTTGACCATTTTAATCTAGCAGACGAAAGTTCAATTTTTAAGAAAATGGCAGCCTACTTTCATTTTTGAAATTGTGTATTTTTGTAAATACCACTTTACTAATGTAGATTAGTGGAATATGTGAGAACAATAAGAATTCATAATTAAGCCTTCTGTCACGAAAATATGAGCGTATTTTACTGTATTTATGATTTTTTATATGAACTGTCGACATTGACCTACTTTCTTGATTTATCGTTTTGTTCAATCAAATATTTAATCGAACAAGATAAATTAAGTTAAACACCACTCTATTGTTCTCAGTATGCAATTGATTCCATTATCAATGTTGAAAAGGGATAATCAAATTTTGGTTGACTTAAATAAAGCTGCCATTGATTTGTGAAGCTGCTGTATCTAAAAAGCCAGATGAATACTCCAGGAATGTGACATGACATGAAAACGAATGAAAATGTGTATGCTTTGTTCTATGTACAGTAGAAAAATTAATTAATCCTTATAGTTTCAATCTAAATAATCTCCCTTTTGTACATGTTATTCGTACACTACAAATAATTTGGTTCGAGAATTGGTAGCAAGGGGTCAACTTTTTCTACTAATCAAGAACCCCATGCCCCAACGTGTCCACAGCAGCCATTTTCAAAGGTATATTAAATTTTCTATAAAAGAAAAACAAAAAAAGCTTATCAAAGATATATATATATATATATATATGCCATCATAAAAACACATTTGTACGTGTTTATTTGCAATATAAAGGCTCTTGTCGGTTTTGGACGGTTCTTGTCGGTAATTAGGGAGACCCTAAATGTATCACATGTACAGAAATCAACTCGCAACCAAACCATTTCGTTTTATGATGCCTGTTGAAATGACTGATGAAAAACTATCGTTATAAAATAAAAAATATTAAATCTAATATAGTTGAAATAAACAACAACAATAATTGTGAATGTTACCGCAGGAAATGGGTAAAAATTTATTTGTCACATATTTTCGCGATGCCGCTAACGGAATGTATATATTAAAATGTGTGTAAAACACAAAAAATGAGTTGATGAAACTACTAAAGATATAAGGAATATTTTCTAAGGGGTGTGTGAAATAAATCACGAAGAAAAATACAGCTTAATGGTCTGATGATGTAGGGTTTTAGAAATTATATTTTAAATCTTTCTTGTACTGTACAGGTTTCCCATTTGGGACATACATGTATTAGCATTTTCCTTGAGCTTTTTCAATATTCAAACTCTGACACCCCCTCCCTTTTCCCACTCTACTCTGCTTATTCATCATACATGTATTAATAAACTGCATAAATGCAGCAAATACTGCTTAACATATTTTACATGAATGATTTGGGACTCCTATGTTTTCTAGTAAAATAAATTAATAAACCAGTGCTGTTTTTGTGTTTTTGGGATATGCCTCAAGGGTTACTTTACCTAAGATATTAAAAGAGGCTGAGACATGATAATATATTCGTACCAGCATTTGTCAATTATTGTTTACTCTCGGGGTTTTTTTTTAGGAAAAGGGGAAGACGCTGAACGCTGGTAGGGAAATATACGAAAAAAGTCAATTTGGGGAAAATTTGACGTTATTTATACTATATACTTAACTACATTCTAGAGATTTTACAACTATATCTTTTTCCCCTTAAAAACTTTATCATAATGCAAAATATTCTTTGCAGTATAACATAATATTCTTAATATGTATGGTGGTGAATGGTTTTTATACTTCCATTTTTGTATGAAATTTAATACAGTATATAATAGTGTATCTGTGAGACACTTTAGCTCCATACAAGTCATTTTCATAATAAGAAATACAAAATATATTACTTTACTAAAAATAACCAAGAAAATGACAATATTTTGATAGCAACTGATTTCCAGATCAGTACGGGATATAGCCAAGAAAAAAAATGGCTGCCTCCATGTTGAGGAGGCAGTACACAGTTTCAGCTGTTTAGTTTCGAATTGGCCAGGGGTGGAATTTACAAATAAGAGAGAGTTTTGAAATTGAAGTGGATATTTGAGGTTGTAAATGTTTATAGTTACTATATTTCAAGTTTCAATGACTAGTATTGTGTTTCAGTTATTTAGTAAAATTGAATTTAGTGGCGTTAACCCTTGCTTTTTTGAGAGAGCACCTGTCGGATGCGAACATGTGGTTTTTGGAGCTAGGCGGTGAATCAGCTCTTCAATTTAAAGGGTATGCAGAAGACTTAGAATAGTGAAAAAAGTAGGTGGATGGCACCCCGTTTGGATGTTATTTTCAGATTGTGCATTGTTTAAGAAGGAAGAAACACTATAGCTTGTGATTTAAGTTTTTGACGTTAATATATTGTTGTAATTTGCGAATAGGGATAATCCGCTTATTTTGTCGTTGATTTTCGCGACCAAAACAATGAAAAACACAGGGCTGTGTGCCAGAAAACTAGAAGGTGGACATGTATTTTTAATTGTTTGCTGTGAGATACATATATATATGTTAAATATGAAATGCATTCATTTCAGGTGTGTGATTACAGACTTGTGTGTGAGTTTTGATTGTGGCGCAGTCAGTTGTTTGCCGAGAAGCCTTGAAAACTGTGAATTGCCCCTTAAGAGCAAAATTTGATTTTTTGTAAGTACTTTTTAATATCATAATTACATGTTTATATGACCCAAAGCTGTGGCAATGGTGAAATATGAGCTTTTAAAGTGCATATTTTGCCTCATGTCTATATTAGAGAGCAAAATCAAGGGAGGTAATTCTTCATTGACAGTTAAAAATCATGCATTTAAGTGTTTGGTGAGCTATTCATCTTCACATTTAAGCTCACCTGAGTCATTTTCTCTAACATAGTGGTTCCAGGAGCATCAAATGATAGAAAAAAGCAATTTTCGTATAAAATTTTGGACTATCGCATCGATTCCAACCATTTTAGTTCAAATGAAGGCCTCGGATCAGGCATTTTTCGTGAGGCCAGTCCATTTTTTTAAGTAATTTCTGAACATGTTTTTCAGAACTGTTTCATACTGGGAGTGGTCATAAATGGTTGAAATAGCCTAAATACTTGAATAAATATCAATTTTGATCTATCTTACAGTTTTTTTAACTTTGATAAGCAGATTTTGAAGGGACGGTCAAGAATATACAGTACTGGACACGCGAAACCCGCACAATTCACGTATTCGCGGCGAACTCTCATGCTTTATAACGCGAGCGAATTCGCGGCAACTTGAGACAATCGCCGCGAATTCAACTCGCGGCGATTTTGCTGTGAACATTTGCCGCGATTCGCAGGGAATAATACATGTTCATTTGTATAATAAATGTAGATATATTTATAAGTGTAGTCTGTGAACTTGAAACCAGATATACATGTACAAGTACGAAAATTAATTAGTAGATCTACATGAAGTTGTATCAAGAAAATCTTGTAATTTGCTAAAATGCCCTTTCTCTATTTATCTTTGATGCCAACAGCAAATATAAATAACCACGGCGAAATCAAATAACACCGTTAAAAACTTTCCGTGAATGGCGGAATCATGACCTCAATGTATAAATGCGACGCAGTACAAGTATGCGGCTCCATCTGCAGGTAAATAGTGTGCATGTACACGTGTAAAACTATTTTTAGGGGGGGGGTACATATTGAGTTTAAAGTAGAGATATATAAATATAATATATGTGTAAAAAGATATTTAGTTACATAAAAAGATACATAATTGATACGACATTAACTTGTTCATTTCTAAATGTAGTGGATCACCGGGACATTTCGTTCTCTCGGGTGATCATTACTCAATTTATTACACGTTTGTAAAAAAATAACACACGCAAGATTTGTCTGCTATAATTTCTGAATGGCGGATATTTGCACCCCTGTTTTAAAAATGTTAAAAATATTTAATTGTTAGTTACCGAAAATTATCGCCGATTGTTGAAATTCCATAGCGCTAAAAGACACAAAAACACGTCGCGCAAAAAGAAGCATCCATAAATAAAAGGAATATAATGTTTTCCATTGTTAAATAATAAATACACAAATTTACACACGAAATGACCTCTGACAAATGACTGGTCGGCTCTTCTGAAGAATCTGTGAATCTTTGATGTTTACACACCTGTAGTTGTTGCCGAAAAAAATCATCAAAGAAATGCCGACACTCTATTGACTTTCACCTCTTTTTTATATATCAGAAAAAAACTGTCATTTCTTTTTGTCAAGGAATGATTACACATGTTTAATTATTGCTCAAGTAAAAAAAATGTTGGATATTGATTGTGTCAATTATTGACATATTATTAATCGTAAGTGCATTTTGATTGTGATATTTTATTTACATTTCTCATCACCTACTCATGCACCTGGCATTTTTTACTCGTGAAATTGAAGGTAAAGAATGTCAATTTTAAGTGATAAAACTTTTACAATTTTCAACAATCATAATTAGCGTATTAGAACGTAATAATTAGTTACACCTGTGAATCGGTGCTAAATGCCGCTTTGCATTGTTCTAAAAATAGAATATGTGCGAAAGTAAACAATGGATTTTAATTACATTGTGTATTATTATCAAAATACAATTGGACAAATTTGTTTATCGTGCGTTCTTTGATGTAGTACCAATTACCTTTTGTAATTTTCAATCTCGTTTTTATTGTTAACTAATTTTCACCAGCACCTGATTGCTTTGTTTTAATATAAAATGTATACGCTGTACATGTTCAAATGCTAAATATTATAAATATACAAGACGTTTACAAGATTTTTCAAGTTTTCAAAATTAAAGATCACGGGAATTAAGGACCAAGTAAGTACTTTCTAATACAATTATTGCTGAAGATTCGCCGTAAATTACGGCGATACAGTCGCGGCGGCGATTTTTCGTGACCCCGCCACGAAATTCGGCGAACTTGACGGGCGATGTTTACCTGGGCGAAGTGTCCCCGTCGCGTAACATAGACTACAACTCGCGGCATAGAACGCGACTTTGGCGGGTTTCGCGTGTCCAGTTATTGTACCATTAAAACCAGCTTGATTTTCATCAAGACGCGAAACACATCGGCTAATCAATTTTCCTTTCACAAATGTCATAAATTAGCATAATGTAAATCAGTTTCACTTTTAAAACCTTTGAAATGAGTCATTTTGCTATGTAAATACTTGAAGCAGATTTCTTTCAACATAAAGAATGACAATTTTTCCATTGTCTGTAGCTTGAAAATTCCAGCATTTGGCAGCTTTTTTTGCGGAATAAACTGAAACATTGAAAAACTTGATACAACACATGCTCTTAGAGGCAGAAATTGGAAGCAGGAGAAGAAAGTTGGCAACATTCTTAAAATGGATTGAAAATATGCCTGAATATATGCTTAGCATGAAAAGAATGTTAGTAGAATTGTAATGCATCATAATCATATGTTTTGTGGACTTTGAAATACTTCTTGTTTTGTCATTAAAAAATGGGTAATTTTTAAGGTAAATTCTCAGTATTCATGACCTTTTTTTATTGCAATATTTGCTGAAGCATGTAGTGCCCTTATATAATTCAGTGGTAAATTTCATTCAAATTGATCAAATTATAGAAATGAAGGTCAAAATTGTGGTTTTAAAAATGTTTTGTTGTGCTTTAAGGAGGCAGTACACAGTTTTCGGCTGTTTAGTTTCGAATTGGCCAGGGGAATTTACAAATAAGAGAGAGTTTTGAAAAATTGAAGTGGATATTTGAGGTTCTAAATGGTTATAAGTTACTATATTTCAAGTTTCACATACTAGTATTGTGTTTCAGTTATTTAGTAAAATTGAATTTAGTGGCGTATAACCCTTGCTTTTTGAGAGAGCACCTTCGTCGGATGCGAACATGTGGTTTTTGGAGCTAGGCGAGTGAATCAGCTCTTCAATTTAAAGGGTATGCAGAAGACTTAGAATAGTGAAAAAAGTAGGTTGATGGCACCCTGTTTGGATGTTTATTTTCAGATTGTGCATTGTTTTTAAGAAGGAAGAAACACTATAGCTTGTGATTTAAAGTTTTTGACGTTAATATATTGTTGTAATTTGCGAATAGGGATAATCCGCTATTTTGGGTCGTTAGAATTTTCGCGACAAAAAACAATGAAAAACACAGGGCTGTGTCCAGAAAACTAAGGGTGACAGAGATTACATTATAATAGGTTGTAAAATATGAAAATGCATTCATTTCAATGTGTTGTGATTTACGACTTGGTGTGAGGTTTTGATTGTGGCGCAGTCAGTTGTTTGCCGAGAAGCCTTGAAAACTGTGTATTGCCCCCTGAGACAGGTACTTGAAGTTTCCTGCAATGTTTTTGGTTATTTTGGACTACAATTGGTTGTTTATCCTGGATTAAATGGAGAAAATTAATATTTAAAACCATGTAAATATTAAATCTGATTTAGTTTAAAGGAAAAATAGAATTTTTTTGGGGGAAAAACTTGGCTATTTACCAAGGGAAGACGCCGACTATCCGTGTCAATTTGTTAGTAAAAAAAAAACCCTGACTCTTATCTGATTCATTGATTATCCGAATTCACTGACAGTTTCCATTAATTTCCATTACTTAATGCGGGTCATTTAATTGATTACGACATTTCTATTGATTTATATCAAAATATTTATTGAAGGTGACGAAAAACAATCAATAAAGCGATTATATAGTAGCTAAGTGTAATTTTCAAACCTTCGCAGATCATACGTTACACCCATTAATCAAGCAAAATTATTCTTATCAGTTTGGTGTATGTTAACACCTGCAAGAGGTGCAATTATTTTTTATTTTCAATGTAGATGTGATAGTTGTCAAAATCTCTTTGGATCCTAGAGGCTAATTTTAGAGTAAAATAAGAACAAAAATTGAAAAAATCATCCGAAATTCAGAGAAGACTGGTTCCCGATCCGAAAAGTTTTTTTACTATTGAAAAAAAAAACTAATAAAATCAGGACTTGACACTTTCTTCGGATAAGAAAGGATTCCGGATTAGAAGGGTTCGGATTAGCAAGGCTCCACTGTAGTATTTTACTGTTACACTTTGAACTAATTACTCTATAATTCTTTTATGAAGTTAAATCAACTACCCAAATGCTAATATTACATAAACCTGGTTTCAAAATAATCTGTCAACCCTAATTGGGCACTTGCGTGAATAGAAAAACAACTTTTGATTCCCAGGGCTGGGGGGGGGGGGGTGACATATTGATCTATTAAAAAATATCTTGATGTAACATTGACAAGACTAATTAATTGAACCAGGAGTTGGTACCACATTTTTCCAGCCTTTTTTTATTTTATAGCTGTTGCAGAATACAGGCATCATCCTGAAAGAAAATTTCTTTAAAATCATACAATTTTCCCCATTTCAAAACTTCTGTGAAATTTTTTTCCCCTGTAATTCATTTTGTAGAAGAATATTTTCCCCATTATAATTATATTATTGGCAATTATTACCGAGACCAGTTTAATATTCTGAATCTTTGTCATGTAAATTGTCAGATTACAAAGTTTATCATAACGGTACACATGGTTGAAGTATAACTTAAAGTTACCGACACAACACTTGCCTAATTAGCCTTATAACTAGTAGGCCATTGGAACATTAGTATAAAATAAGTATTGACAGCATTCCTATCTTTAAAAAGCAATATTAAGTAAATCTTAATAAATTACTGAAACTAACAAAAAAGCATCAAACAATTAATGAGTCTCAGGCCAATATTGCCAAACAATGTATTTTAATTTCCCCAAAGATTTTAAGGATTAGGCTACATCCCACATTCATAATATAAAAGTTTGTTATAACAGGTGCATGAGAGGACCCTTGAAAAGTGTCAAAAGTGTGAAAAGTGTATAATGGACAAGAAGAGCAGAACAAAAAGAAAGTCTCCATTATGTGAGGCCCAACACTGGCTCAAAGAAAATAAAGATCCTCCAGGGTTTGCCATTTCGACATACCCCACAAAAGGTTTGTGTATATTTCATAAATGTAATTCTTTTTCAAATATTTCAGTGCTAAACTGCATTCTTGCAGCATGTGAAAAATTAAAAAAAAATGATGGCGAGGACCTTTATCTTAATCTACCTAATTGTGTACTTGCACCTTTAAAGTTAATGCTTTGAGGAATGAATAAAGTCAGACAGTTAAGTTTACAGGTATTTCTCCTGATATACTGTCTTACTTATTGAAAAATCTTCTTTGAAAAAACTCAAATAGCAAGAGTTTAGATATTAAGCACAAAGCATCTTCTAGTGAGTGTCTGCAAATTTTGTTCAAATAAAAGCCCTGGAGTCAAAATTGGCCCGCCCTGGGGGACATTGATTTTCCTAAATACGAGTATAGCAAAAACTTAAAAATCTTCTTTTAAAAAAAACCTGAATAGCTAGAGTTTAGATATTAAGCATGAAACATTTTCTTGTAAGTGTCTACAAAGATTGTTCAAATAAAAGCTCTGGGGTCAAAACTGGCCCTGCCCCAGGTATGTCATTGTTTTTAACTATATGTGTAAAGAAAAAACTAAAAAAAATCCCAACGAGCTAGACCTTTGATGTTTAGAATGAAACATCTTCTAATGGTTGTCTACAAAGTTTGTTCAAATAAAAGCCCCGGCTTTAAACGGGCCCTGCTCTGGGGGCCTTTGTACAGATGAGCGACCTCAGGGCCATCATGGCCCTCCTGTTCGTTATTGTTACCAATTTATATAATAAATCAATTTTATTTCAATTTGAATAAACTCGAAACGCAACATGAATGAATATTACTCTTTACTGTGGTATTTTTTATGATAAGAGTGATTTTGTACCACAACAGCACTTTTGAACAGTTTTGTCATGTGCTAAGAGTGGTCTCCCTTTCTGAAATAATGTGAAAATGACATTGGAACAAGCGAAATAAAACTGACAGCATATTGTTAGTGTTCAACTTTGTAAAAAGAACAGAGAAATCATAATAAGAAATGCGTAAAAAGTGATTACGTGTTACATTTCTAGTCTGGGAAAAGAACGTGAAAAGTAAGTTACCTCAGCCATAGAAAACTGAGCTTTCATTGTAGACAGTGTCAAGTTGTAGACAAACATTAAAAAATATTGAAGATAATATTTAAAAAATGTGCTTAAAAGGTGCTTAAAATATCCTTGAATTTAGACATTGAATGTCTGTATGAACCCTGTATGTATAGGGTGAACTATAATTATAAATAACCCATTACCACATGAAAAATGGCTGTTTTCATTGAAAAGTCTCCTGTTACAAGTTTAAATTGCTATAAAACTATAAAAACTGCTTCAATACTAATCAAACTTGGTACAAATGTTGACTGGACCATTGCCTTTGTAACAACATGCTCAGTCTTAAATTCCCTGTTACACTGGCAATGAGGGGACATCTCAAAATTGCCAAAAATCACTATTTTGCGTTGATTTTTTCCATCAAAATTGATTTTAAAGTGCTGCAACTTCCCACTGGATTGAGATTGAGTCAAAGGCTTTTCAGCCTTTTCGCTTTTAAACAACATTTCTCAAACAAAACATGTGTTGGGGGCATAAATAAGGCATTTTTTCACCATTTGAGACAACAAAAAGGGGTGGGATGAAAAAGGCGTAGAAAGGCATATATATCTTGTAATGGGTTAATTATTAGATATATTTATGATAGATGATAACTGTTATGATAAATGAAATTAAACATTTATTGATCACAAACATTGTGTTTCATCTTGTTTATTTTCAGGTAGAGGAATCATCACTACTATCTATAGAAGAAAAGGTGATTTTCTGCTTCATTATGCAGGAGAAGTTATTTCTGGTAAGGAGGGGGAAAGAAGAGAGAAGCTTGGCAGCTCTGGTTTTCGTTTTTTCTACAGAAATGGTCGCAAAGATTTGTGGTAAGTAAGCAAGATATTAAACTTGGGTTTTAAGAACTAGCTCAGCAAATTCTTTACTTTAGAAATCCTTTTGTATATTTCTGAACATAAACTTTGCTATTAGAAGGGCTTTTTTCAGAACTGAGGAAACTCTAAATAATCTATATCATCATAATGAAAATGTTTTCCTATTGCACATTGTTAAGAAACAGATAATAACATTCAGGTAACAAATTACACGAGCAAAAATGATTGTTTCTAAACAAAATGTTTCTCATATGTATAAAAATGTTACCCTACCCCACCCACTTCAAACAGTCATTTGACCATTTCCCTATGTAAAAAGCCTTATTCAAAATACATATCCCTAAAATTTACCACAATGAGGAGCTGTTTTAAAAGTTTGCTTAAATTTTCTTAAAAGTATATTGGTTTAACTTGCGAAATAATGATAATGCCAAATATAAAATACTTTAACCATGTAGTTTTTATTTTATTAAACTTTGAAAATATCTGGTATCATATTTGCTATTAAATTTGGCATTATTTAGCAAATCGCCTACAATAATTATATCATTATAATCAAACACTTTTTTCTTCCATAAGGGATCTAAGAGATACATAAATAATGTTAAAAAGAAAGAAAGAAAGGAAAAAAAAAGTTGCCTCTTCTGGGGTTTGAACCCACGCCCCTCAATTTCAATGCAGCTATCAAGTGATTCTAGCCTATTTGAATACTCTTCAAAGTGGAGGTAATGCATTGCCCATGGTCTACCTTAAGCAAAAATCTTGCTATGCTAAGGGTTATGGCTGTGTCCTACAACAAAACAAAAGAGTAAAATTTATGAAAAAGATGCATTTACGTACTTTTTCTTTAAAATAGTGTGGATGCCACTGATGAAACAGGTAGATTTGGTCGTCTTGTTAATCATGGTGATAAGAAAGAGCGCAATGCTATCATGAAGGGAATAGATGGACACTGGCTCTTGTTTGCCATTAGGTAATGAATTGTATTTTACTCATAAAATGATTGAGTTTTGTCTTTTAGCTTGATATTGACCCTTTGATGACATTGGCATTTTCTTTAGCATCTCCATTTTTTAATGAAGAGCTTTAATTGTTCAACCCCCTTGTATGCACAGATTAGCACATGGCCATGATATGTAAAGTACCAATTGAAAGTTCTTCTTGTTCCAAGGTTTTTACATGCCAAATCATATATTTGTTCCTGCTTTTCAGTGATATTGACATTGGTGACGAAATTTTATATGATTATGGAATAGAAGAACTACCCTGGAAAAAGGTATATTTTTTTAAACTTCCCTTTAGAATTACTGAAAAAACTATGGAAAAAAAATTTGTTGATGCACTACAGCTTCATTATAACGCTCATGGTGGGGTCTCTCATTAGAATGCTCATTGCGAAATTACCTCATTACCCCATTATATATAAAGCTGATTTTACTTACTGTTCAATGAATATCAACATTATCTTTTTCTTAAACAATTCAATGATGTAAACATATATTATATTCACAAATAATACTAATTATATTTAAAAGAAACAAAAAACTTTTGAAAGAAAAAACATAAATCATGAATGTGGTGTAAAACAGTTAGTCATTACTGTAATGGCGTTTGATAAATAATGGGACACAGTTTACAATCCAGCTTTATTTGTGTCCCCTAGTTACTCAAACGCCAATTACTTCCCATCTTGGCAGCTCTATTTACAGTGCAGGATTGTAAATTGATTTTGGGCTTGTGTGGGTTATTTAATTCAGCAAGGTTTACATGTCACATATATGTGTGTGAAATTTAGTTTTACCGGTTGCCTATGTCACAGTTATGATATGAATTTGAGATTTTGGAAACAATTTGATGCCTGACTGATGTACAGGTAAAACAACAAAAGAGCGCATAAACGCTTACCTGGTCATGTTTTTCACACCTTTGGCGCTCATAAATGTCCTAATAACTATTGTACATGACTGTCAAATCGAACAAGCATTATAGCGCGCTATAAATCTAGATCTACTTGAGTTTTTTTTGGGTGGGGGGGCAGAGCCAAGGTCTATGAGCGTTATACTGAAATTAGCGTTATAATGAAGAGCAATATATCGAGGCTACAGTGTACTTAATTTCAATTTTATGAGGAGATAGAAAAGTTAGGTGTGCAAGCACTTAAACCCCTCCTTGCCTTATTTATTATCTCCCTTAATTGAATATGGTCAGCTTTTGCAAAATGCTTTCTGTTAGGATTTTTATAAAATCATGGAACCTTTAATTTTTACCAGACCAGCCAGCCACCAATACAAATATTTTTATCAGGCCTGATATTTTACCAGTCAGGGCTGATGGTCTGATGGTCTTTTTGAGAAAGTCTTCTTCTGTTAGTTATTATAGTTTAGAAACAACCACATAATAAACACAACTTTATATAAGTATTTTTTTAAAGTTTCATCAAATTTTGTATTTGACATAGCTTCACACACTGCTTGGTAAACAAGTAAAACATATGTTGACATGTTTAAGTGTACATTCTTGGTTCCACTTACCTTGTTTTGTACCTCGTGCATATTTGAAATAAAAAAGACTGTTTCAAACCAAATATTTAAACAGTTCAATGCAGAATTTTGTTTAAAAGACATGAAGGCATAAAGTTCATTTGATAATGTAACTAATAAAATTATAAGTTTAAAATAAGATGCTTCATTGCTGTATGTCATGCAGCTATTAATTGTTTATCATAGACAAAAACAGCTGACAGTCATGGTAACTATTCCATTAAAAAAATCATTTTTCAGTTTCAACTATTTTTGTTATGTCTATATGCCAGGATTTTCCCTTATGGTCTTCAGTTAGAAATATTATTTCCACTGAAGGACAAACTACAAAGGTTTCAAATGATTTTTAACTTAAAGAATAGTTTATTGTTTTGATAATTACCTATCATTTAATTTGGTAAAACCCTGGCATGTGTGATTTTCTTCTGGTTTAATTTGTTACCTTTTTATTTGCATAATTATCTCACAACATTTTTTGTTTTTGGAAGTTTTTTGCAACTTCAAATTAATCAATATCTTTACTCAAATGATACTGCTCCCAGTTGCAGGTGATTTAGTACTTACTGTCCTCATTTGGTTTTCAAGTGGAATTTTTTTAATGGCATTAAATTTGTTAACACCTGCATTATACATGCATTAGCATATACAGATAATTATGTCTCCCAAAATTTTTGAGAGACATATTGTTTTTACCTTCACCGTCTATCCGTCTGTGCATCCAGTTGTCCATCTGTCTGCATTAAGCTTGTCCGGCCTTCACAGGTCAAATTTCAACCATATTTTACAGGAGTGATCAATGCCATCCTAATGCTGCACAAAATGGCCACTAGAGCTAAAAATTGAAAAATCTATTCTGGCCTTCACAGGTCAAACTTCTGGTAGGATTTCAGCCAAACTTTGCAGGAGTGATCGGTACCATCCCTTGTTGTGCACATCATCAGAACGTTCTGCTCCGCTGCACAAAATGGCCGCCAGAGTTAAAAATAGTAAAAATCTTGTCCACCCTTCACAGGTCAAACTAATGATGGGATTTCAACCAAACTTTACAGGAGTGATCAGTACTATCCCTAGTTGTACAAATCCCGGGGACTTTGCTTTTAGCTGCACAAAATGACCACAAGAGCTAAAAATAGAAAAATATTGTACCATATTCACAGGTCAAACTGCTGATGGGATTTCAACCAAACTTTACAGGAGTGATCAGAGTACTATCCCTAGTTGTGCACATTGCCAGCACTTTTAGCTTCGCTTCTTGTCTGGCTTTCACAGGTCAAGCTACTGGTGGGATTTCAATGAAATGTCACATGAGTGATCAGTACAACCCCTAGTTGTGCACATTGCTGGCATGTTCTGCTTCGCTGCAAATAATTGCTGCGAGAGCAAAAAATAGAAAAATCCTGTTAAGCTATCACAGGTCAAAATGCTGGTGGAATTTCTACCAAAATTCACAGGGATGATCAGAACCATACATAGTTTTGGGAGACATATGTTTTTGTGACAAAACCCTTCTTGTTCACAGTAAAGGCACAGAATATTGTTTTCTTTATAGACTTGGTGGTACGGTCACCATTTCAAAAACTGGTTTACTATTATTGATAACTGGTCACTTTTTGAGAGCCATTTATATATTTTGAAATGAAATAGGATATATGACATCATAGCCCAATTATAGAAATTATTGTTGCGTGAATATTTCTTAAAGCATGTTTTTGTTTGCTTATACTGTAGATATTGGAGAATGTGATGATATGTCTGACATACATATAAGTAAGATAGATGATACAAATGAAGTTAATACCAACAACGTTGATAAAAACAAGA